TACAGGAAACGTTATCCTGGTTCGTTACTAGTCTCTTTACATATCAAGCAATTATTCAGAAGCACTCAAAAAGCGCTCGTCTTTCAACCAGAAGGTTGTGGGTTCGATCCCAGCCCGTGCAGTCAACATGTCGATGTATCCTTGGGCAAGATACTTAACCCTGAGTTTCTCCCGATGGCCAACGGTGTGTGAATGTGTGTGAATGTTAGGTCTTAGAGTAAGGTACACTGCTCTGTATGAATGGGTGTGAATGGGTGAATGACATGTAATATGTAAAGCGCTTTGAGGGGTCTTAAAGACTGGATAAAGCGCTATATAAGTACAGTCCATTTACTGTAATTGTCACTATTTTTGGGGGGCTTTTTCGTTTGCTGAGAGTCTAGAAACAGAGGGTGTTAGTTGACTGTTAAGTCATTGCTGAGATGAACGTGTTATTTGTGATATTCAGGCTGTTAATAACATTGGATTTATCACGTAAACTTTATTTTTGCTGCAACATCTCTTATTTCCAGCTTATTAAAGTTACACCCAGACCACTGTGAACCCTTGTTACAAGTATATTCCACTTTATACACTGATTAAAGTATTTGCCTAGGTAAAGAAGCAAACAATGGGGTAAAGAAGTTCATTCAGATCTTCATGTATTTGACATGGCCTGTATTTACAATTACAAGTCCCTATTCTTCCTCAACATCCTCTAGAAATCTTGTTTCACCTTGCTGTAGCGATCTGCAGGTACACTCTAGGACCCAGGTGTTAAAATACTTTAAATGGTAAATGGACTGCATTTCTATAGCAGTTTTCCAATCTTTGCAACCCCTCAAAGCGTTCTTACTCACACAAGCCAGCATTCACCCATTCATACAGAGGCAGGTGCATTCAAGGTGCTAACATCCACACACATGCACACAGCATTGTGAAGCCACGCCATCGAGAGCAATGTGGGGTTAAGTATCTTGCCCAAGGACACATTGACCTTCAGCTTGGAGAATGACAATCTTCCTATTGTGAAGCTGACAATTGAGCGGCCCGACCAAGCAAGGAGGCAGAGGCAGAACGTCCAAATATAACCCGGTGTGGGCATTTATTAAATCATCATGACACAGCCTCAATCTGCTGCCCATGTGAACACAGTCATCAGCCACCACAAGGATCTCACACACACTTTTAGTTTAATTTGGGCGTTAATTAGTGTAAAAAGCTCTGAAATGTTCAGAGCAGTTGAGCAAACCAGCTTTAGTGTGAACGCAGTAAGACATTTCAAGCTGTGGCCTTGTTTCCAGTGGCTCCTTTTGGGCTTTTCAGATAGCTGCAGGGCCGAGAGATGAGAAACTGCAGAGAGGGAATAAAGGAGGCCATGAAGTGGACCTACAGCAAGGAGAAGATACTGGGTCACTCAAAGTAGATGGATGGACTGAGGACGGATGGAGAGGGAATACAGGACAGTATGGATGTGAAAGAAAGTTTTTTTTATAATGCAGAAGAAAGGAATAGAGGGTAAAGGAGAAAGAGAGGAAGGGGGGGAATAGGGATGAAGGGAGAGGAGATAATTGGGCCTCATTTGCAAGTGTGTCTGTGTGTGTTTTGCAGATTTCCTCGGCTTCAATGTGGGTCAAGGGTATGAAGGCAGTCTAACAGCTCCTAGCTACTGTTTCACAAGGGCTTCACTGATGTTTCTTTTCAACTAACCTTTCATAATGAGAACTTTTCATGCGTTTTAATCAGTCTCTACCCACCATCTTGGACTCATCTGCACTCAGTGAATACAACATATTCAAAGTAAGAGCCTTGACAATATGTTAAGAGCGTTTGTTTATCCCACATTATGAGCAGATCCGTTATAATTCCCATTTAACATACTTTATTTCTGATCTGGGTATTGATCTAATTAAGCTTCAACAGATTTATAGTTTTCATAATGAGTAAAACCATGATATGCAGGTTATTGGTTGCTGTCTGATTGAATTCCTTTAAGTGTAAATCTCCCCATTTACCATAGCTTATTATTTTAATGATAATTAGAGGGTTTGTGATGCGATGAGTGTGCTTTGTTAGAAGCTGCAGGCTCTAAGCACAGCAGGGAAGTCATTACGATAAAAACATCTGAAAGCAGTAAAGAAAACCACAATCAAGCCTAATTATTAAAGACAGAAAGGATATGTCACTGAAGGCACAGTGATAACACCTGTTATTGACTATTATTCAACTAGGATTATAACGCGGCTTAGACCCCTTTTACACGCAAACAAAACGAATTCGATATAAAAAAAGTCTTCCGTTCACACGAGACCGCTCGAAAGCGCTGGAGACGCTGTAGTACATATGCCGGGCCTGTAAGTGGCGCCACAAAATACACCAAAAGCAGCGAAGAAGACCCCGAGCACGGTTGCCATGGTTGCCCTTCTGTTTATGCCCCTTGGTGGATTTAGCAACATGTAGTTCATGTACTGTAACTCACAAAAACTCACCTCTTCAATCTGGCTTTCAATGTGTGATTGTTTTTGTATTATTTGACTTTAACTTTAACTATATATTTATTTGTTGTTCCTTTCTTTTCACTATATCTGTAAAGCGTCTTTGAGCACCTGTAAAAGTGCTAACAAAATCAATCTATTATTATTATGTAGTTCTCCATTTCCACTTGTTGCTGATGGTTGTGGTAGAGGAGCTGTTGATGTTGCACTAACATCTGTAGCATGGTCAGTAGCAGTAGCATGCTACAGCACTGAGCAGCAGAGGCGGGGCTTCATCGTTAACAGGAAATGATCGTATAGGGCGTACACACGAAGCCGTTTGCCCCCCAGAGCGTTCCGTTTGCAGATCTATCCACCTTGGGACCCGTGATCATTTGCAGGGTCCGTTTCCGTTACGGCCCCGTGTGAACGAACGGGCTATACGAAAGAGAAAAGTAGCGGATACAACCGTTTGCGTTCTCGTGTAAACAGCACCTTCGTTGAAAACTGATTCTGATTGGTCAATTTGGACATTTCAGAGGTTGTTAATACTTGATAACAGACTGAGGATCAAGAGACTATGTGCCATCATATCAAAGGAACTAATATGACGTTTCTCTCCTCTCTTTGGTTATACTTGCTTTCACTTGAGCTGGATACACTTGAATAAGCTGAATCTGAAACAGCTTGGATATAAAAAACAATGCAAGCTTTTACTGTCGCTGGTCACACTGGACTTCCTCTATTTGCATCACTGCTCTCTTTCATGAAGGGATTGTTCCCCATATTGTCACACACACACTGTACATGTGCAGAGATGCATGAACAGCTGCGAATTAGGGGGTCCTAATTTCACTCCCACAAAGTAATTTCTAGAAAAACATGCATTTGTTCTCTGGGTACAAGAAGAAAACTTTCCGCAAGAAAAGCACTTTAAGTCCCCTGCTCAGTGGTGCATCAGCTACTGTGGTGTGTGTGTGTGTGTGTGTGTGTGTGTGTGTGTGTGTGTGTGTGTGTGTGTGTTGTAATCAATGTGTGTGTGTGTTTCCAAGCTATCATAGCTCAGTCATGCAGGTAAAGTCATCATCACCAGCAATCTGCTCAGGCCTCTAGGGGATGATGCAGATGCATACACACACACACACACACACACACACACACACACACACACACACACACACACACACACACACACACACACACACACACACACACACACACCACACACACACACACACACACACACACACACACACACACCACACGACACACACACACACACACACACACACACACACACACACACACACACACACACACACACACACACACACACACACACACACACACACACACACACACACACACACACACACACACACACACACACACACACACACACACACACACAGATGTGTGTGCGCACTTACACATGCAAATAATTTCTCCCTGGAGTGTTTTCACTCCGGTGAGGAGGACAGAGGGGGGGTGCAGAGTCCATTCACCCGTACAGACAGTAAGAAAATTAATTTGTCACAGCAGGTTTATTGTCATGACAACCTGTGTCTCTCTCTCTCTGGGAAACACTGATAGAACGAAAATGGAGGGAGACAAACAGTCTTCCCTTCTGATTGACAGGAATAAATGGCGAGAATGGCAGACGTATGGAGGTCCGCTATGATGCTGATACCTTCTTGTGTGTGTGTGTGTGTGTGTGTGTGTGTGTGTGTGTGTGTGTGTGTGCGTCAAAAAGTTCAGGTATGGTTCAGTTAAGGTGACACTGTAATCATGCAATGGGTGCATGCTTCCAAACAGGGAATTTTAAGACATAACATTTTATGAGATCTGTTTAGAGTCCACCTAATATTATCACAATAAGCTGTGTTCCCACTGCACAGTGTTAATTAAACTGTAATGAATAAGTTATAGTGTTTGTATTACATGTACAGTATATAGTTGACTTATTCCTGTTTTTAACTTGCACCATTGTGTCACTTCCAGTTCTACATGTCTTCAGTATATTGTATGCTGCATTGTCAAAAGTCAAGCAACAACAACTACCTTTTTTAACAGTGAATACAAATCCAAGTCCCTAAAAATACTATTCTTTGGGCATAGACATATGGGTTGAATTCCACAAGCAATATAGGCTTTCATCCATCAGGCTGCATCCTATCTGTATCAAAAGGACAGTCCTGGTATATATCAGCGTCACTAACTTGCGAGTGTGTGTGCATGTGTGTGTGCAGCAGTCAGAGCCAGCGGCACCACTGCCTGTGTGTCACAACGACTTAATAAAGACCCATAACCTCGTCTCGCTGCTCAGAAAACTTTGGGTTTGTGTTTTGAGCGCGAGTGGAATCGCTGGCATGCGATGAAGAACTCAACGACTTCTGTCCGACAAGCACGCTCCGTCATGTAAAACTAAAACATCTGAGACAGAGGAGCCTCAGACCACAGAGCTCTTTAAAGTCTGAGAGCATGAAAACAGACCCGCTGCCTCATAGACCACCAGAGAGAAAGAGCCAGTGTGTGTGTGTGTTTTACCTCTTGAGGTTAAGCAGAGCCCAGGGGATGCCAGTGGGAGTTTTGAAGGCTGGCAGCAGCTTTTCACCCAGCTCCACCGCCTTCCTACGGTAAACCTGAGACAGAAAGAAAGAGCATTTCATTAAAAAAGGCTTCTGACTCACACTTCACATTTTCTTGATCAGCACTGCATCCCACGAGGGAAAATAGAATGACTTTCTACTGCACACAATGAGCCTTTTAGACGCATTACTCAAGAATACTTTGGCTGTCATTTAACCATGTAAACATACGATACGACTTAAAGCTTAACCGAGGGAGGACGTGGAATTGGAATATATATATAGGTAAAACTAACCCTTCTTTTCATTATGGACAACCTGACGATTATTTTCTCACTAAATCGTCTTAATACAAGCCCGACAGCCCAAAATAATGTGTTCTGCTTGTTTTAGTCAACAGTCCAAAACTACAAAAACACATTCACTTTTCTCTCAAAAAGAACCAAGAAGCCCAAATTCCTCAATCTAACAAGCTGAAATCAGAAGACTTGAAAGATGACTTAAATGTGGCTTTTGATATAAATCATAACATATGTCTAGTACTTTATTGGTTGCACCCACACGGTCGAATGCACTTATTGTAAGTTATTTGGGACAAAAGCATCAGTTTTGTCATTTCATGTATTGGAAAGCAGACGTAATTATAATCCTTCTTTTCTGGAAGTCACAGATATAGAACGTCTTCATCTCAACACAATGCAATAAAAACATACACTGTCTTTAAAATAAGTTTACTAAAGCTGAACAAAGTTTTAAAAATAACTAATAGGCGAAGTACGACCAGCCAAACGACAGCAGCAGGGGACGTACTCCAGATCTGAGCCCAGAGCTTTCAACCAGGGCATCTACTCAAGGAGAGTCACTGAAATCATGTTCTCTCAAACGCTGGATTTACATTGCAAATATAATACTCCTTCACGCCTCCTTCACAATCTTGAAACCCCTTTATTTCCTCTTTCTTGTCCCCTTCCTTCAGTCCTTGTAATCTATCGCCATTTTGTATTCCATGGCTTCCCTACTGTGGATGTTTGACATGTGTAATTTAAAGGAAAATGACAGACGTTGTTTTTAAATAGCAGCGTTTAGTTTCTGGCAACATGTAAAGATGAAATTACAGATGCTGCTAAATGAGGAAAAGGAAGTAAAATAGCATGTTTTTCTCAGTCCTTTGTTATCTTATAGAATAAGACTTTACAGACTGAGCTGGTGAACACGAGGATGTGTTTTTCTGACTTCAATTTACACCATTTTTGGAGAAGTGAAGTCATTTTTTTGGAACGAACAGAGGCTTGATGTTGCTCTGAATAACTTCATGAATATTCAACAGTAAAACTACAGAGCAAAAGAGTAAATGTACCTGAATGTATGTTATGTATTAAACTATATATTATTATTATTATATAAAAGCTCATTTCAGGTAGTCGTGTGTCGTGACTTATGACCTGAGACTTATGAAGATATTTGCATGTATTCTTTTTAAATAATGCTACTTTTTTGATAGTTGTGGCACTTTTTGTAACACAAGTAATGCCTGGTTGTTGACTAGTAATCATCACTTTTGACCAAACTATTGTTAATCTTATTATCGGCTTCATTTGAAGATGTTATTGCTTCAATGCAGAACCACTTCTTCCCTTGAATAGCTTTAAACTTTAAGTGCGAGTGGATTTGATTCACTGGTCCGAGCTTTGTGTTAGCATATCGGAGCAGACAGCTTTGTGGCCTTTCAGCCGAGGGGTGACGGCGTCTCTTAGGTGTCGGATTTTGTTGGCTTTAAACGTGAAGCACTTCCATATTTGGCTCCTGGCACGGGTTGAGTCAGGCAGTTAGGATAAAGTGGGATTTGGACCAAAGCGAGGTGGACTGTTTGGCCAAGGCCGCTGCTGTGCACTGACAAGAGTGAGGGTGACGTGATGTCAGATGTATCCCTGACCCTCGAGAGGAAGTGGTCTCGTTCACGGATTAATCCACCAGAAAAAGGAAACAATTAAATTGGTATTGTTTTTGGAACAAAGTCAGTAAACGTTAGAAAAAGCAAAGACAAAAGTGGTTCAGAAGACTCAGGTCGACTGAAACTAATGCACCAGCACTTATAATGTAGATTATTTTTAATATGGCTTTTAAATTTGGGTTAACTTTCAATTCTCACTGGTATCATTGTCCATGTTTTCTTCTTGTTCTGTAAAGCACTTTGGGCTGCTTTGGGCATGCAAATAAAGTGTTATTATTATTACAATTGTACGGCTTATTTTATGGCTATATTTCAGGCTGTTCAGGGTTTGTATCTTCATGGTTTATTGCACTTACTGTAAGTCAGCTAATCAAATGTAATGTACCGTCCAAAATGTCATCACACAGAAGCAGCCTAACCTACACAACAGCCATTTATGAGGATAGAAAAGTCATTTAGATCTGCGAATACAAATAGTTGTTATGATTTATCTGCCTAGTCATTTGTAGAATTGTTGATTATTGTATAAAATGTCAGGAAACTGTGAAAAATGCCCATTCTAGTTTCTCAAACTCTCAAATAAATATACTTTAATATGATTTTAAAAGCAATACATGGATAATCTCCATATTTGAGAGGCTGAAAAGTGGATTTTCTGCCATTTTACTGTAGCATGAAACATTACTTTGTAGTTTGCGATTAGTATTCCATCGAGTTTTAATTGTTTGTAATCTTTGCAGGTAAACACCTTTTTGAAGAAGCAACTTGTCATCAAGATTCATGAATAAGGGAACAAGTTAACTTTTAAAAAGGATGGACATCATTAAAAAACAGTAACACCAAATCTGAGAAGGCATGGAGAGCTGCAACACACATAAAGGACTTCTGAATCCACAACATTAATGCAGCAACACTGTAAACTGTATACGCTTCCTACATCCCTCTAAAATGTTCCCTCTCACTTGATTTGCTGAATTTGCAAACCAAACACAGCTCTGATGAAATTGCCTCTTGTAACTGCCGTGCATTACATCCCAAACACAGCGAAAAGCCAAACATTTCCCTTCTTGAATTATGAGATTTCATAACGCAGGAATAATGGTTCAGTGTAATTACATCCCATAATTCAAGTTTGGTTTTCACAATCAAATATAAACACGACTCGGATAATCAAAGTTTTATATACTGTACCAGCCGGCCTCGAAACCATTTCTAAAACGTACTGTGTTGATATTACCAACGTTTTACCAATTACAGTCAAAACACACACACACACACACACACACACACACACACACACACACACACACACACACACACACACACACACACACACACACACACACACACACACACACACACACACACACACACACACACACACACACACACACACACACACACACACACACACACACACACACACACACACACACACACACACACACACACACACACACACACACACACACACACACACACACACACACACACCACACACACACACACACACACACACACACACACACACACACACACACACACACACACACACACACACACACACACACACACACACACACTAATCTAGAAGGAATGGGTTGTATGCATTAAACACATATGAGTATATAATACAATGACACTGCCATCCCATCATGCATGCCATGCGGTTTAGGGGGGTATTTAGATCAGATTACATTCATTAAAAGGGGTGTCACTGCCACTGAAGACATTTCACAAGTTTTTTTTCTTTAAAACTCATTTCACTTCATGGCCAGGGTGGGAACGTACCATCAAAGAGCACGTGGCTTGCTCAAGGGTACATAAACAAAGAAATACAAAAAGGATTGGCCTTCACTAGTAAAATGTCACCTTGGAAGTTTTTGAACCGTTGTTTAAACTTTAATCTTGTGGTATTTGGAAGATGAAAATAAGGATATAAGACACATTTGGTCCACATTTAATATCTTCATGTTTCCAATTATTTATTTATACCGTACTTCGAAAGGATTTACAATATAAAGTATTTTCAAGCCAAGATTTGTGGTGACACTGATGATGCCCCGGCCCCACTATGTGTGTGTGTGTGTGTGTGAGAAGATGTGGGAGCAGCAGGGTGTCGTAACAAGGCATCAGACCCCGGTGATTAATGCCTTTAATAATGCCAAGAGCACACTGAGGGGAACATAAAAACACTCCCAGGGACGCACAGGAGAATAAATTAAACACGCCCAGTGTCCAACGACATCAAGCAAACTGCCAACGAGCTTTAATAAGCCTCTGAATTATACAGGAAGAGAGGAACACACACGACGATGGTGGCTAAACCGATGTGAATAACCACATTTTATACCTGTGCAAATCCATCAGCAAAATGAACTACCTTGTTGTTTTAATTTGTGTGTGTTACATTAAGTAACGTCATAAATCTGTATCAGTAAGTCTCAGTTATGGACCGCCAAAATGAGTGAGAAAGTGTTGTGATCAGGACAGCGGAAGAAGCTTCATAGTATTTAAACAGATAGAGAATTTAAAGCATGAGGAGATTAATTCTGTCGTTTTACTTATCAGGAGATTATTCATTAATTAGGGATGCTCCGATCGATATCGGCCGATACTCACTCTCTGCCGATCGATCGGTGCTCTAAAATACAGGACACTTCTCTCTGTGCGCGGCAAAACAAGCTCGCCAAAATGGCGTCACCGGTCTGGCAGTTTTTTAAGGTGTCCGAAAAAGACAGCAAAAATAGTGGTATGTGAAGCAGAAATCCTGCAGCTCCACCCGCTGTGACGGACCGGTGAGCGGAGCAACACACTAAGAGTTAGACCTAACACACTATTTTATCTACCTCTGGAACTAAACTAGTTATAAATGGTTTATTCTTCACTGTCGGGTCACTCATTACTGGATCAGTGAGCTGCGTGAGATACTGACAGGCTGTCAGGAGAGAGAGAGAGGGAGAGAGAGAGGCTCCGTTTATTTCTCCGTTGTTATTATCCAAAGTTAATGTAAACTTGAATAATGTACTTCATTTGAATGTAATAATTATGTTGGTTGTTGTTTGTGAAAGCGCCAGTGAATGAGCACCATCACTTTAAATCA